GCACACCATAAATTGTGGCTTAGAGCCCTTTTTTCACACAGGCTGTTTCTCCATTGCATGGGCCAGCTAGAATGGACCAGAGCATCATGAACAATGTGGTATCCCAACTCCTTGGAAATGTGTTACCATCTCTTCCTTTGTTAATAAACATCCTCCCTCAGCACAATTGAAGCAGCTCAATGAGCAATCTACGTAATTTAAAACCCAGCTGCCTAAAACTACACTGTTGGTCTGACTGACCTCAGTGCTGGATGCCCCTCTCAGGTGCTTGTACAGCAGGAACAATGCCCCAGGACCCTTGCTCTTTCTTTCAGGGGTTTTTGAACACAATCCAAGGCGTAGTATTTAAGGACTTGGATGGCTTCATCCAGGGAAGACATGATAGCCACTTTCAAGTATGTAAGAGACTGCAGTGAGGAAAGGATCTATCTTTCTCTGAACCTACTGGGATAAGGACTAAGACCTTAGACTGCTGCAAGGGAGTGCCACATTATGCATAGAATGAATAAGAAGAAATCTGAATGAATAAGAAGTAGCTGAATGGAATGCCTGGAGGTGGTGGAGAATCTCCATCATCTGAGATCTTCAGGACTTTATCAGACTTTGTCTGCAAAGGACAGGTGAACTTGAAACAAGGGTATGGAAAATTGGGAAAGATGATTGAGTTGGCCTCTGAAGGCCATTTCTCACTCTGAGTAGAAGCTTAGCGTTAGATTTGTGTTTATGGAAGATCAGATCCTGACAACCTATGTTGTATAACCCAGAACTGAATGAGGAAAGGGCTGAGCACCCTTTTGCTCTCAGCATTCACGCCTCCACCTAGGCAGATTTGAAGCTGGTCAGCATAAAGGCATGCTGTATTTATTTTGTTGCTAAACTGAAGACATTAGGCTGACCCTGTTACTTTTCTTAGCCATTCAGCTTTACCTAATCAAACAGAAAACCTCTCCAGACACTGTGGGTATTCAGATTTTGAAGGCTAACTACCCAGAAAAAGAAAAATCAAACCAGAAACTACTTCATAAAACTTGCAGTTAAGTGATAATTTAAATCAAGCAGCACCTGGTTTACCACAGAGAGAATTCATTTCTTTGAAAATGTCACAACAAATAGCAGAGGTTAAGTTACTCATTCCAGAGAAAAATCACCATCAGACTGTATCTTGAAAAATAAACTAATGGTGCAGGCTAAGGCAATGCACCCTTTGAGATGGAAGAAATTATACATAATTTGGGATGCAATTTAAAGTGAAACCTTCAAAAATGTTGGGCAGACTGTACCAGAGCATGGCATCAACTGGAACAGTATTTTATTCTGTTTGAAATCTCTGAGCACAAGGAATTAGAAGATCTGGGTACAAAGCTATGAAAACTGTCATCTTCCAGTCATTATCAAGTGTAGCCCAGATGATTGAATGGGAGGATGGAATCACCAGCTGGCTGACAACTGATAGATTCTGTCAGTGGTTTCCTACCCTACTTGCCAAAGGGACATATTGGGAAAGAGTCCATAGTAGGGGGAAGGCCCTGCACACAATTGGCCATCAGGGAAGAGTGGAGTGGTGACACAGAATCACCAAGGCTGGGGTGCGAGAGGGTCTGGCTGTGGTATGCTGTGCTAATTTCTGGAGAACATCTGCACAGTAGGTAATGAGAACAATAAACTGTTCTCACATGTGTTTCTTATGCCCAGCTGCCAAGTTCTTCCAGACAAAGGCAGATAGCATAACCCTTGCCATACTCAAAAGACAAGAAAACCTTGACACATGAGTGAAGTGATTTTACTTACCGTTGAAAAGCAGAATGGGGAAATGGGGATGGGGAATCCATCTCCTGGGTCACAACCAGACCCAGAGAAGAAAAAGGGAGAAAATATTTTTGAGTGTCACACAGCCAAGTTGTCTCATGTGTTGATTTTACAGCAGGAGAAAACCCAATTCATGCAGTACATGTTGTTACTTTTAAATGCTTGCTCCAAATTAACTACTGTTCCCATTTTTTGCTTACTTCCTGTGCTAATCTCCTTATTTACCCATCCCTCTCTTATATACACATGCATATACATAGGCAAATTCATCCCCAGTCAACTTCTCCCCCATTCTGCAAACAGCTCATAATATCAACACAACAGCACTGAAAGAGGATATTTTGCTATATTGTTAAATATGAATCCCCTATTTTGCCAAATCATAAGCATCAATGTGCAGAAGAATTTTAATGAGAGTGTGGGGAATAATCTGCCTCACATCTTCCATTCCAGTGGAAACCAGATTTCCCCTTCCCTTCCCTTCCCTTCCCTTCCCTTCCCTTCCCTTCCCTTCCCTTCCCTTCCCTTCCCTTCCCTTCCCTTCCCTTCCCTTCCCTTCCCTTCCCTTCCCTTCCCTTCCCTTCCCTTCCCTTCCCTTCCCCCGTTTTGGCTACAGCTTTTGATGTTCCTTATGCAGGCAGGCTTAATGTCTTTCATGAGATGCAGTCCCCTCAGTCGAGAGTCTTTCATGACATGAAAAGACTTCTCTGTAATTTTCTTTTTTTATTATTATTTTGATGTAAGCTGTTAAAATATGGAGAAAACACTGTCTGATTATTTAAAGATAAAACCTAGACTGGGTCATGTATCTCTATTGCAAGGCTCAGTCTACTTTAAATTGATGAGTTGAGGGAATATTGGAGGATTTTTATTCTCAGTAGTCGTGACAGGAGAATGAGGGAGGTGGGAGTAAAAACTAGATCTGCTCTGAGCAGCTTCCCCTTCAGTTCTGCCAGAGGTGTCTCTTAGCTGCTCATCACTGCAGATCCAGTGCCTACGGGATTGGTTTGCACTTGCTTGTGTTATTGCCACTGCTTTTCTCAGAAATGTCGAACCATTAAGGTTACCTGGGAGAAAAGTTATTTCTAATGAAGAGCCCTTGAACACTTGGTTGCTGTCATCACCGTCCACGCTAGTGCACGTGCAGGAGACAAGCACAGCCACTCTCTTCTCCAGTCTTCTCTCCCTAGAAGCTGAGACATGAAACACGCTTTCATTTTGCTCTGAACCTTCAGGCAAAGGGAGAGTCTCCTGTGGATTTGCAGAGTCTGTGCTGAGGGACTGGCCAGTAAACCTAGGACCTAAGATTGTGTAAAATGCATTTTTCTTTGACTTTTCACCAGTGCAGAGTTTGACTGTCTCCAGGGACACAGCTGCAGGCCAATAGCCCTCTTCTCTCCCCTTCTCCTGTCATGGGGGGCTCATCTGTGGAGGGAGACAGGGATGCTGTTCATGAGAGCTGGGAGGGTGCAGCACGTAGGTGTGTAGGAGAAGGAGAGGCCATGCACAGAGCCTGTGTAGACAGTACAAGGAGAGCGTGGGTGGGCAGGGGGGATGAGGGTGTGTAGCTGTCAGAGAGCAAACACGTGTCTGCAAAACTTCTGCCAGCACGAGGCTACTGCCCAGGCACCACCTGCCCAGATCAAAGCCTTTCCTGCTTGTGTTAAGGGAGGCTTTGAACCTGCAACGACTCCCCCCCACATTTCCCCTTGCCTCCAGTGCTGGTTCCAACAGGGGCAGCTTTGGGGAGGCACGGGGACACACAGAAAACTCACCTTGCCTCCCTCACCCACACTGTGGGAAGGAATGGTGCTCTGCAGGCTGGAGGGGCAGAATGCCTCTTCCCACCCTTCTGCTCTCCCCGTGGGAGTTGTCAGGACCTCAGAGGCCCAAGAACACCTCTCTTTTCTCCTGGGGCGGGTTGTGCTCGGTGGGAGGCGGAGACGGAGCTGCTGCAGGTGCGGCTGGTGCTGAAGGGACAGCTACGGGGAGCCGGGCCGGGGCAGGAGCACGGGGAGGGTCGGGAAGGGAGACCACCGGACAGGAGCAGGACGCGGGAGGGAGATATGGGGAGGGAGGGAGAAGGAGAAGTCCGTGGTTGAAAAGCCCAGGGACAAGGACAGGAACAGGGAGGGACACAAGGCACTGGACGGAGAGAGACAGACAGAGGGCAGGGGCAGAGAAAAGAGGGACAGGAACAGGGCAGGAAGGGAGAGGAAGAACACGTCAGACTCCGGGTGCACTCCGACTCGGCTGCCGCGGGGATCTCGGCATGGCCGGCTGTAGGAGCGGCTCCGCCGGCGCCAGACACGCCGGTACCGGGCGGCTCCCGGCGCGCCTGGGGACAAGGGGACTGCAAGGTGGCAGCGGGCAGCCCGCAGCGCCGAGCCGGGTCGGGGCCGCCGGGGCTCTGCAGACACCGGCGCTGGGGACTCCTTGAGGCTGCCGGCGCGGGTGTGCTCGGGGCACCCGCACCGCCACCCAGCTCGCTGCCCGCCGCGTGTGCCCCCCGGGCTGTCCTGTGCCCCGACCATGCAGGCTGAGCCGCGGGGCCGGGGGTGACCGCCTGCCCGGCGGGGATGCGTCCTGCCCGGCCACAGCTGCGGCTGCAGCTGCGGGGCTGCTCCGGCTCGGTAGCCGAGCGCCGCAGGTTGCATCCGGACAGCACTTGACCAGCTGTTTTGTATATTTTCTAATTTCGTGCAGAGCGGGGCAGCGGTCATAGAGGTAATCTGTAGATCCGTGGCTTTAAGGGATAAATTAGAGCACTGGATTTGATCCGTATTGCAGTGGATTAGAGCAACCTCTCCCCCCTCCCCTTCTCCTCCTCCCACCCCTCCTTTCCAATTCACTCCCCCCTCCTCCAGCACCACCTTTTTTCCTCTCATGCAATACCAAAACTGACCCTGCCTGGCAGAGAGACTGCTAGGCGAACAGAGCAGTGCTCGCATCGCCAGCACACCGCGGGAGCCGCCTCTCCCCTTCCAGCCGCTGCAGCCCCTCCGGGGCACCGCTGCTGCAAGTTCCCCGGAGGCTGGCGCCGGGGCCGGGGTGTCTCCTCCGGGAGCCGGGGAGCGGTCGCTGCCCACGGGCTGTCCCTTTGCCTCGGCCCGGGGGGGGGGCCGTGGGGCGGCGGCGAGGGAGAGCGGCCCCCGGAGGGCATTTCCCGAAGGCAGCGGGGCCGGGACCCGGCAGGAAATGGAAGGATGAAGTGTGCAGCCGGAGCGGTGATGTTCCTTCTCTCCTTGCTTTCCCCCGCAGGAACGTAATCCGCAATGCTAGTTCTCAGGTTGCTCAATGTTGTCGCTCCAGCCTACTTCTTGTGCATCTCCCTAGTGACCTTCGTCCTCCAGATCTTTGTCTTCATACCCAGCATGTTCAGAGACCCTTCCACCACCCCACTTTTCTCGCCTGCTCTGCTGCATGGGGCCCTCTTCCTCTTCCTCTCAGCTAATGCCCTGGGCAACTACGTCCTTGTGATCCAGAACTCCCCCGAGGACTTGGGCAAGGACTTTAACTTGGGCAAAGGAGCCGAAGTGGCAGACTGGCTGGATGGAAGCAGGTCCCCTGGCTCAGCCTTGCCCGGCACTCACTTCTGTAGACTGTGTTCCAGAGTCACCCAGAGGCATGACCACCACTGTTTCTTCACAGGGAACTGCATCGGGAGCAGGAACATGCGAAACTTCATCATGTTCTGCCTCTACACCTCCCTGGCTTGCCTTGACTCCCTGGTGGCAGGCATGGCTTACATTTCTGCTACACTTTCCATGTCCTTTGCGGACCCACTGGCCTTCCTCACTCTTCTGCCTCACTCCATCAGCCAGTTCTTCTCAGGTAAGGACTCCTTGCTCAGAGATGAGGAGCATGTTCCTCCTCCAGGGCTCCTGGGATGGGGGGACCTGATCTTCCTTGGATAGTCATCTGTGCGGAGGTGTGGTATGGAAATGGGCCAGAGGGGTAATTGGCCTTCTTTGGAGGCTACAGCCAGCCTTTCCAAAAGACTTCACCTGAAATAGAAGCTGGGACCCACTCCAGGTTATGTCCATAGCTACATTTCCAATGCATTAGGCTCTGGAATATGCCCCGTAACCAGCTTGGTGGTGATAGAATAGAGCTATCTGTGGTGCAGGACATGTATTGTAATTAGACAGAGGAGATGGATTTCACTGCAGGTATGAGGGATCTTTTGCCTGTCCTATAGGTAGACGTGGGGGTGGTCCTGTAGGCTTTTGTGCCCTACAAATCTGCAGGTTCCCCATATCCCAGCAGGTATATCTTATCCAGGTCTACTCACTCCCTCCATTGTCACTCACCTCCTGCCTCCTGGGAGTGCAAACTTACTGAGATCTTTTCATCCTTCCAGCACAGGAGAATTGGGGTTCAGGCAACAGAAACCGAGAGAGGAGTTGATGTGACATGATTAGGTACCTGTCTTGTGACCCCAGTCTGGGACACAAGTCCACAGAGAACCATGGGAAATTCTCTGTGCTGCTTTTTGCAAAAGCTCCACACCAAAAGCAAATACATCCTTCTCCTTGCTTCCATTCCTTACCCTTCTTTCTACTTCTTACCCCTCTCTCCCTGCCTTTCTGTAAATCTCCACAACCCTTCTCCTTCCCTCTCCTGATTTTGCTCCCATAACTCATCCTCTGTTCTTGCAGAGCAAGAAGTCTTGGCTCTTCACCTTTCACACACCCTCAAACTCTCCAAACTCAACCCTTTCTCTGTCCAAACCCAAGAGTTAGACAGATCCTGACCTCAGAGAAGGGATTATGCAGACAGCCTAGACTGCTACTCTGCCCTGAGAGTGGCTGCAGAAAATTGCCATCTCCCCACTATGAGCTCCAGCCTCATGCACTTACATCAGCTTTTACTAGACTAAAATAGGTAGCCCATATATTTTAGCTTTGCAGCTTCAGCTGAACTCAGTAAGAAGGGAGTCTGTTTTGGCTTGTGCATTGTCACCAGAAGTGTTGATTAAGATCTGAGTGTGGAGATTCCACTGCTGGGAATACAGGAGCCAGAGAGGCCCTATCTTGCTTTTCAGATTCCAGGCTGGAATGCCATCTGAAAACAAACAAATATCTCCCTGCTTGGCAAATTTGCAGATTTGTCATGGTAATTACTGAAAGACAATAAACATGAAATCCTGCCATGACATTTTTATGGAATAATTTTTCCAACTAGAAGAATTTTTTGTAAATAATATTGCATGAGCTTTACTAGCACTAAAAACACTGGGAATGATTTTCCCCTGTGCCTAAGCTCTGCTCAGCACAGCATTCTGGGAGGGGGAGCAGGGATATGGGAGGAGATTATCAAGGAATTAGTTCTCTCTGACTCTGAGGGCTTGTCTGCACAGTGATGGGTCCTGGCACATATTTGCAGAGACACCAGCTCTGGTGGAAGCAACTGTGATGCCAATACAGCATGTGGCCAGTGTTTGAGTGGGACACAATGGGTCTGGATGCAGAGCTAAGAGCCAGAACACCCTTGAGAGGCAGCAGCTTCCAGCAGCTCCCACCAAACCTCTAGTTCTGCTGAGAAGAGAACTGCTGCCTCACACAGCAAGATACAGGCGTATGTTGTCTTGATTGCTTGGGAGGAAAGGCCTACTGGGTTTCTACCAGTACCTTTAACCTCCATTTCAGGAGAGAAAAACACAGTCTTGAATGGTTACCTGGAAAGGTTGCTCACACAGTATTTTTCAGCTAATGTAACTGTTACCTAAGGGTTGTTGTATCATCCAAACAGAGAACTGTGATAGCAGGGAAAAAACTTTATCTTTCTTCTTCTCCATCATGCCCACTGTACTGCAGAAGTAGTAAAGGAGGATGAAGGGTTAATCTGCTGGTCTTATGTCAACTAAGTGTTCCTGCTTTCGTGCTGGGCAAGTTTTCAGCTGGCTCATTCTGCCCAGACTGTACTCAGGCATGGATTTCAGATTCTGACCCAAAGTCGATAACTACAGCCTACAATACAGCTTTTCTGGCATGGATAATATATGGCAATATAACCTTGAGATCACACTGGGTCACTTAGAGACAAAAAGAATCCAAGGCTAAAAGAGACTGGGGGGATCAGGGGCAAATGGAGAGCATTATTGTAAACACATCATATTGGACCACACAAAATAAATTATAGAAAATGCTTTATGTAGGAAACCTGAAGAAAAGGTTTTAAAAAATGCTGCATCTGGAAAGGATGGCTCAGAGATACTTAATATTTTCAAGGGGAAACAAGGGTAATTACTTCCTGAATGTTGAATTTCATCAAGTCAGATAAATAAAGCCTACAGGTGCCTTGCAAAGGATCTAAAGAAAAGGTCTCTCCCCATATCCCATCTCAGTATCAGCTGTAGGAAAAAATAAATATCTGTCACACTCTGGTCCAGTAAAAGACGAACAAAAAATCCAGTACTTGGCTCTGGGCTTCTTACCTGGTAGATTAAGTTATTCTGACAGAATTGGTATGAGGATTTGTCATTATCCTAAGGGGCTTGTTCTTCTCTCGCTGTGTTGCATACAGAGCCCACTGAGCTGAATGGGATCTAATAAGAAGGGAAAGATGACATTGCATTTAGGAAGAAAATGGAATGATTCCTGCACCTTTTTCAAGTGAAGACAGTCTCTGAAAGCTTGAGGCTGTAGTCAGTGTCCTTACAAATTATCCTCAGAGGAGCCTGCCCCAGTCTCTCACTTACAGCACTGCCAGGTGGAAAAGATGGGATTCACAGATTGCAAAACCAGGTGATACCCCCTAATCCAGCCTTCTGCATAAGGGACACGAGAGGTGCATATCCCATGACCCTTCTGTTGAACTTAAAACCTGAAGAACCCATGTACCTCTTTTAGGCAGCACACCTCTATTGTCCATGCAATCCCTGCTCTATCACAGCTGGTCTTGTAAGGCTCATGGTCTTCCAGAGGAACAGAAGCATGTGAGAGTTTTTTATTTCTAAACCTTATAGGAACCACTGAAAAGATATCAGCTATTTATACCAGTATTGACACACATTTCATTTCCTTTGTGTAAATATGCCTGTGTGTAAATATGGGTGTTTGATAATATACCAATATGCACAAAATACGTGCATAAACATCATATGGGAACACAGAGAATTTTATATTAATGGGTTTAGCTCTGCTTACACACTGAAAGGTCACTCAGTGACACCTGCTGTTATACTAATATTTTCCAGAAGGAGTTCTAAAATCATTGTAGAGGAAAGGGCCTACAGAATATTTTTATTCAAATATATTCATCACCAACATATACTAAAACCCCCCAGTTGAATGAGGAGCTTCAGATATTCAAAGTATTTTGAGTATTCTAGCAGCAGCTAATGAAAGGAATTTGGAATGTATTTTAGAAAGGTTTCTGTTTCTTTCTTGTATTCACATGAAAACTGCCTTGTTCCAAAGGTAGGAAAGCCATTATTGATTTATTTTTCTATTTTAACATTTTATATATAGAGAGAAAAAGAAATACAAAATATTTCTGCCTTGTGTTAATACAAACAGTAAGGCTTCTTAGAAGGATCTACATGCTGTAGGGTCCACTTGTATTTTCAAAATCCTAGAAATCTTAGATTCTAGGATTCTCTGATGAGCAGGTAAATCCTCAAATAAATTAATCATTGTTCAGAATAGTGCTGAAGTCTTACAGATATGCTTTACTTCTGGTTGAATTTGTCCCTGTAATCTAGATCCCCACATAAACAGCAAAAGAAGAAGCGTACAAGTGACCACTGTCATTTTAGTATTTCTGCAGCTGGTCCATTCATCAGACACTATGAAGGAAATAATTTAATACAGTTAGAGCAACCAGCCTGTCTTGTTCCTACCTCCCCACTTGTGGCCAGAGAAAACAGCTGGTTTGTTGGTTCCTGGGGCTGTGTTAACTGCTTGTAGGGTGTGTCTAAGCACTTTCTTTTCTTGTCCTCCCTCCCTCCTGGTTTTCAGGAGCTCTCCTTAGCTCTGAGATGTTTGTCATCCTCATGCTCTACCTCTGGCTTGGGATTGGACTGGCTTGCGCCGGCTTCTGCTGCCACCAGCTGCTGCTGATCCTGCGCGGGCAGACGCGGTACCAGGTGCGGAAGGGAATGCTGGTGAGAGCCCGGCCCTGGAGGGACAACCTGCAAGAAGTCTTTGGCAAGAAGTGGCTGCTTGGACTTCTCATCCCCATGCAGAACGTGGAGAGTAGCTACCGTAGGCAGAAAGAGAAATAAAATCCCCGTGTGTGTGTGTGTGTGCATCCCACGCACACAGCACCTTCCCTGCTCTCTCCCACTGTCTCCTGGATCACTACAGAGCTGGGCTACTCCATCTTTTGGGATTGCAGCCACTGTAGGAGGAAAGGATGAGCTATCAAACAGAATAAATTAAGCATATTTACATGGAAATCACAAACCATGTAGATGAGATACTCCAGCTTAGTAGTCACATCACTGCGCCTGCATAGGTGGCAACAGCCTTTGAACTAGCAGAAAACTTAGTCAGACCCTCCTGTGGCTTCCTGTCTGAACCCCTCAGTCCCCAGCACTATTAGTTACCCTATATAGTCTTTAAAAACTGCATCAGGAGCCTGGGCTGTTACGGAAGATTGTAAAAATGGTGTCTAGTCTTAGGGAGGTTTTTGTGGAGTGGCTCTTTGGCACTTATATACATGAGAGCTTCACACGAGAGCATCATTCCAGAATTTTTTGGACAATGATCTCAGGTACATGGTGTCATTCTTGGGATTGTCCTATTCAGGGCAAGGAGTCGGATTTCAATGATCCTTGTGGGTCCCTTCCATCTCAAGATATGATTCTTGATTCATAATACTGACAAGCCCTTAATGATAGAACTGCAATGCAATCAAGCTGTCCTAGGAACAGGCTATGAACATGGTTAATGCATCAGATAAACCTTCTCTCCACAGGCTAGAAAATCAGGAGGAAAACAAAATCACAGGAGGAAAACAAAAAGAAATTTAGAATTTCTCATTTCTGTTATTGATCTGTTCCCTATACAATGATAGGTCAAGACTGTAGCTCTGCTGCTTATTTTTAGCAATCCTTTGTCCAATGGCAGAGTGCAGGCAAAGCTGCCCTTCTGACAGGGAGCAGCAAGCAGATAAATCATGGTCAGATCGAGGGACAAGGACAGGAAACCACAAAGGTGAATGAAAATGCTTTGTTCGAGAAGCTGTGTGATGAGACAGGCTATGCATACCTGTGAGAGAGACAGAAGGAAGTGTGGCCACACAGCAAGCACTTGGGAGGGTGTCAAGAGCATTGCTGCTGTGTCAGAGCCCTGATGCATCACCCTCTCACAGGGAACACCTGCACCATTAGGGCTGTGAAGAGTTCAAAATTCCAGAAAACAAGGCAGTTTTCCAGCCCATCAGGGCACTTCATTTTGCACTAAAACAAACAGAAAAATGCTTTTCTCAGACATCCCTGCCACACTTTAGTTACAGGCTCTCCAGGGCAATTCCCTCTCGCATTGCAGCAGAGGGGTAAAATCATCCATGTTATAACTCCATTAAGGGTGTTAATAGAATTACTACAGGGATTAATCAGCTTCATGTGTCCATTGCTTTTTAGCCACAGCAGCAGCCCATTAGATCAGTGCTGAGATCCTGTGCTTACAGATGTCTTAACAAAGGATACCACAACATCTCTACCAGGGTCATAGCACTGGATTCCCCAGCAGCTGCAAGAGAGAAGCCTCTGCTTTGGCAAACTGCATCAGCTTATGTGGGCTGGGTAGGAATCCATTGCTTCTCTTTAATAGGCTGGGAGTATGCTGACAAGCCATGAAAAATGTTATTTCTTCCTCAGAAAGGCTCTTGGTGCGTTCCTGATAGTGGAATGCCCCTTGCTTTTATCCTTGAGTTTCTCATAGGCCAGAATGGAGTTACTCATTCCTACAGGCTTTGTAACCATCTTTGACCACTTTACACTTGAATACACGTTTGAATCTCTAACAAACAAAGTATATTGTGATGAGCAGAGTAACCTTGAAAATATACTGGAAAAACCCTTAGCTTGATAACTAAAACATGGAAGATACATCCTTCCACACTGTGTGTGTTCGCATGAACACACAATTGTTTCTGTGGGTAATATGATGTATTTTCTCTAACAGTGAACAATAAAAGGTATTCTGATTTTTTACATGAGCTGTATTGTGCTTTTTGACAGTTAGCTGTCATTAGCTGTCTCTATACATTTGTTACAGCATACACAGAGATGTGTCAAAGGAAGAAATTAAGATTTGTTTATTGGCTTTGTGTGGTAGTTTGACAGGAAATATGTTTTCTGTATATATGCTGTGGTTAGGCCAATGGATGCTCAGATTTTAATATTGGCACCTAATGTGGCCATTGGGACATTGGATCTGCCTCTGAGCACACGGGGTTAAAGCAGAGCTCTCCCCTGGGAGGCTCTCTTGGGTTCTGGTCAGTGAAAGGTTCAGAGCTCCCCTGCCTGGCTGCGGGCTGGGCGGGGCAGGGGCAGCCATGGGGCCGGGTGAGGTAGGCCCAGGGGCAGCCATGGGGCCGGGTGAGGTAGGCCCAGGGGCAGCCATGGGGCCGGGTGAGGTAGGCCCAGGGGCAGCCATGGGGCCGGGTGAGGTAGGCCGGGGCCTGGACAGAAGGGAGGGGAAGGCCCCTGCAGGATGGAAGGGTGGAGGAGCACTGAGAGGCATCGGGCAGCCACCCCCCACCCAGGAGAGACAGAGAGAGAGCCTGTGCCTGTGCTTGGCCAGCTGAGAAGGAGAAGGAGGGGTGCGAGAAGGTGCCTGGCAGGGCAGCCGTGGGAGTTCTGGACAGACAGACCCTCAGATTTTTAACCCTTTTCTTGGATGATGGAAACCTTACAAATGCTAATCCTCCTGGAGCTGAATGAGAAGAGAGATATAGATGAGATAAGAGGAAATGGGCCACGAGAGAAATAGAGAAGAACTCAGGTGGAAGAGATGATGGAGTAGCTTATGCTGGACTCTTTTTGTGTAGCCATGAACAGAGCCATGTTTCCTTGGGATACAGGGACTGCATTCCAGTGGGAGGCAGTGCCTCAGGACCAAGAGGGTTCGGTGTGGGTACCCCTCAGCCCCAGGGGGTGAAAAATATGGGGGGGGACAGATGTCCCAAAGTTGAGACTGTGCCTTTTTGGAGTGGGACGAAGCATCCTTAAAAGTCAACCCTAGAAGCAGCTCTGGTCCGTGTTCAGTGGTGAGAGTGCTGGACATGAAAGGAAGAGGTCACCATTGGCACAAGAAGGACTCCTTCTCCTCTTGATGAACTGAGGATTGAGTGTTCTGAAGGGTGCTGGACCGAGAGTCGATGATTTGGGGGATGTATTGTATTGGGAATTTGGTGGGGAGGAGGAGGAGATGTATTTGTGAAGTTTTCATTTTCCTTGTGTGTTTCTTTTTTTTCTTTTCCCTTGTAGTTTAGTTAATAAATTTTTCTTTTTCCCTAAGTGGGAGCCTGCTTTGCTTATTCCTGGTCACATCTCACAGCAGAAACCAGGGAGAGAGTATTCTCATGGAGGCACTGGCATTGTGCCAGTGTCAAACCATGACACTTTGCCAGTAATTCATCATGTGATTTTTGACAAGTCCTTTCATCCTCCCTACTTTAATGTAATGACCAATCTAAAAATGCATCTAATAACCAATTTGTAGACCCATTCTAATTTCTATTTACAAATTACACTACCAAACTCATGCCTTGTCAACTCAAAGCTATGGGAAAATTAAGCTATTATCATCACCCACAAACAGCATCTCGGCATAAATTTTTCCTTCCTGGCAAACGATGTCAAGGTGAGCAGACAGTCACCTAGACACTGGAACCAGAGCCAGAGTCTCATGCCATACACTTTGTCTTGGAAGGATTATTCTTCAGGATTATTCTGTTATTCCACAGACTTGCTGATCCAACTTCTCCACTTTTGTAGACTTAATGACAATAGGCTTTCAACATTTCAGCTAGAAGCCACCTCCCACCTGCAGAAATTATGGTTTGACATCTCTGCCCTCTGCTTTTGGCTTTTGAGGGACACTGCAGTCTTGGGCAGCTTATGGCACTTGGCACCTGCTGCCACAGTGCCTCGGACTTTAAAGCTCCTTAGGGCTGCACACTGAGAAGGGCAAAACGACTCAGGTTTCAGTGGGCCACTCTGCAAGGACAGAATCCATCCCGTACAGCATTAGTTGCTCATGAAGCCTGCTGCCTCTTCACATCAGGGCTGGATCATACCTGGCCCGTGTCAGGTTACAGCTGTTTGCCCTTACCACAAAATTTCAGCCCTTGCAGAAGCACAGATAGATCCCAGTTTGAGTCACTGCAGCACAGTCAAGCACAGCTATTCTTTGTGTCAGACACCTGTGTTACTGGCTGGAAATTGCTGCATCACCATTTTACGCAGCTAAATGGTTCATTTGCAGCAAACTACTGGATTTCAGCAGTTGTGGTGGGACTTTCAGATGGCCACAGATTTTACAGTTAATATCCTCTGGGATGGAAAGAGCTATAAAAATGTAGCACTAGACCGACCCTGTATATTGGCTTATTACTCTCCTTATTCCAAAGTGTGCAAACTGCCCTCCTTGGGGTAGTGGTCCTTCAGGAACAGTTAAGAGTACTTTTTAAAATTAGTCAGCTGCCCTGACATCCCTTCCTTGTCATACTTCTCTATACTTACATAAATCCTTGGCAAGAAAGTGTAACAGGGGTCAACAGCTGTGAATAGAACCTTCGCTCTTAGCCATGATTTATTAAATGAAGGCTGAGCTCAAAGGCAATGTCGCAAATTCTAAATCTGTTCAATGACTCTAAAGTTTTCTAAGGATAAATAATAAAAGCTTCTCATCTTCTGTACTTTAAGAGTCATTACTTACTATTTGCATTTCATAACATAGCAGCTGCAATAGCAAATATATTTTGGAACATGATTTCTTGTGACAATGTCTAAATACTTGCAAAGGTTTTAAAAATAAAGCACTTAGGCTTCTCTGGCTTTGGAAAATCAGATGACCACCATATTTCTTCTCTAGTAATGCTAGTGGCTGAAGTAAAAGCTCCCTGTTGCTAAAGACCTTGCACAGAAACCACAGACATTTGCTTAGTGGCTTGTCTATTTTAAGTGGGATTATCTGAAAAAATGGTGTCACCTCTAAGGTCTCAGGAGTCTTTGCAATGGCAGTTTAGAGGAAATGAGGGGATGCAACTCTGAAGTAAACCAGAAATCAGTTCTTATGTACAGTAAGAATTTCATAAAAAGTAAGTAGTGCACGGTGTTCCTCTCCATACTGCACTGCTGGGCAGCCCTGAAGGCCTGCATGCCACAAGGTCTGCATTAGATATCCTCAGAGGATGTAGAGTTAAAATGTAAAAGTAATAAGGCACGGAGAACATAGGAGAAAAGATGACGTGAAATAGCATTTATCTTAAGAAATAGCCAGCTCAAGGGAGATGATCACAGTCTAAAAATACTTTCAAGGAGACAGACTGAATGAATGAGAAGACTCATTAACTGTAAGGATACAGCTGGAGGAGGACAAGCAGTCCTGGACTGAAAGAAAAGCTGAGGTCGAAAGCAATCAGAGAAAGTGGCCCCAGTGAGAGCAGAAGTGATTTGGTGTGTGTAGGGATGATGAGAGCCATCAGGCAGTATGAGGTATGACAACAATTTCAAGTTAACTTCATTGATTGTTGGCTGAATGGACATAAAGAAAGTTAAAAAAACTCATTGCTAATCACTTTCTGCTCAAAAAACCTCAAAGCCCCAGGAAAGCCAAAAGGGTTTTTCTTTCTTGAACAGAAAATTATATTACAAGGAGATGCATGGATAGAAACCATAAGCAGCAACAGCAGAGCCCATATAGTTCTCTTTGAGTTATTTAAAGACAAGACAGAGCTATCATAGTTGGAGTAAAGCAATGACCTACTTGTGCAATACAAATGAAGGGAGAAGAAAATTTAAACCTATGTGGGGTCTCTGCTTGATACTTAAACCTATGGAAACGTGTTGGACAACAAACAGCAAGATGGTCTTTAATAATGACATATCTAGATGTGGGTTTTTTGATTTTCCATCTCTTTTCTGGAAAGCCAGGGGAATAAAGAATCCTTGGAGATTACACCAAAAGTCAGCAAACATGGACCAAAGAGTGCTTCAGTCCTCTTATGGAGGCGTCCTGGCAGCAGCCTTGTCTTCATTACACCAAAAAAGCTTTTAGCATTGGTTGTCCTGCTGAATCTAACCAGCAAGTGATGTCAGAGCTCCAGCATGCCAGTCCCGTGTCCCTTAAGTTTTTTGAAGTCAGATTTGCTAGTCTCCACAGATGTTTACAAATAAAATTTTAAGTTCTCAAGTGTGTAGTGGGTTGACTCTGGGTGGACACCAGGCACCAACCAAAGCCCCTCTATTACTTCTCTCTGCATCTGGACAGGGGAGAGAAAATATAACTAAGGAAGGGTTCATGGGTTAAGATAAGGACTTGGAGAGATCACTCACCAAATACTGTCTTGGGTAAAAGACATTCAAATTTGGGAAATTAATTGAATTTATGACTAACAAAATCAGAGTGGGATGGTAAGAAGTAAAATGAAATTTAAAAACACCTTCTCCCCACCCCTCTTTCCCCTCCTTCCTGAGAGCCACCTCCTCTCCCCCAGAGCAGTGCAAGGAGATGGGGAATGGGGGTTATGGTCAGTTCAGCACTCGTTATTTCTGCTGCCAGCAGGGACAGGAGTCCCTCCCCTGCTGCAATGTGGGGTCCCTCTCATGGGATACAGTCCCCCACAAACTTCTCCAATATAAGTCCATCCTATGGGCAACAGTTTTCCATGAACTGGGCTCACTCTTCCATGGGATATATTTCTTTAAGCACAGCCTGCTACAGCTGGGTCCCCATGAGGTCTCAAGTCCTACCAGGAAACCTGCTCCAACGTGGGCTCCTCTCTCCATGTGTCTGCAGGTCCCTGCCAGGAGCCTGTCCCAGCACAGGCCTCCCACAGGTTCACAGCCTCCTCTCAGGCATCCACCTGCTCTGCTGTGGGTCTCTGCCACAGGCTGCAGGTGGATCCCTATAGCCCTGTGGCCCTCTGTGGGCTAGAGGGTGACAGCTGCCTCACCATGGTCTTCACATGGGCTACAGGGCAATC